CTTGAAGAACAGGATACAATAATCACTTAAAATCACTTTCAAAATGATCACAAAAATTCAAATAATAAAAACAAAATATGTTCAGTAATAAATTGGTAGGTTTTGTATCCTTTCTGACAATACTTAACACATAGACGGACGCAAATGCATTCCCATGATTAAGCTTCAGCATAAAAATGGATGCTATAGTATTCACGTTCGTGAATTTGTTAAACTGCTTCCTTTTTTAAATGAACCTGACATTACCGTTGACAGTTGTTTGTAAAGGTTGCCAGTGATAGCTTGGCCCTTAAAAATTAAGTTTTGTGAGGATTGTCATGGCTGAGTATTAAGTGTATAGATGTAGAAAGTCCCTTTAACCGAATTGAAATAAATGAAACTTATAGTTCGTTATAAAAAGTACGATGTATCCGTAGGACGCTACAATTGTTATAAAATTTCGCTTCCAGGAAATATGTTCACTACAAAAAAGTCCGTTATAACTGTAATGATAACACATTTCCGTGCAATATATCCTGATTTAGGAAATAAAACCATACAAAAGACACTATCAAGTTCTAGCAAAAAATTGGTTTATCTATTTCCTAGGTCGTATGCGAATAATTGTAATTGCATTTAATTGTTTTATATTTATAGACAATTATATATGATAGACAAATATATGTATATATATATATATATATATAGTGTTGGTCACCTAATTAGCACACACCTGAAGGGAAAAGTATTTTGATAAACCCTCGATTCATTTAGAATGTTTCGTATTAACAAATTAAGTCTGTTGAACCATGTTGAACGACTTGTCCAGAAATTCCTAGAATAGCTAGAGATTAACAAACATTTATAAAAATAAACAAACAAACAAAATAAAAAAAACACACTTTTCCCTTTAGGTGTGTGCTAATTAGGTGACCGGTGACTGTATATATAACTGTGAAAAACATCTAATTCGTGCAACTTTTCTATTATTTATCTGTTTGTTTGCAAACAAATTGTTGCAAGTACAGCCACCTTTCACCGTTTATTAGTTCATAACTGGAAAAAGCTCCTGCCCACCATTTGTGGACGCCTGCATGTATACAAATGTATTGATTTTCGCTCCGTGCCCAAATATGAACTTGTGACATTTAATAGTTCTGTGTTCACGAAGTTCTGTATTTGTGTCTGTGTAAGGCCTAATAATAAGGTCAGCCAAGAAGATCAGTTGAAAATGTGATGCATGATGATATTATAAGGTGATGTATCAATACATAGACATTTGTTCATTAGGGCCGTTCAAGTGTTACATAAGCAAATGTATTGCAATTATTTATCCCCATACACCGCCTGCCCTACACCTTGTCATCAAAAGTAAGCATAGCTCTTATCCCAAAATTAGCAAAGCGATGTTATAATTTTGTATCCTTAAACATTAAATGGACAAAGTAAACGTATGATGAAATAAAAATAAATAATATAAATAACAGATTTTCTCTTCCTATTCATTTTCCTAATAAAAATAGATCTGTCTGTTTACAATTGTTACCAAATGTTACTAAATGTTGTCTGTTTACCCAAAACTCCAGTAAAAGAGAGTCAAATGAGAGAGCAAATTTGACAGTTCAACAACAACAAACTTACTGGAGTTTACTGAAAGAATTTTATTCAGTAAGATTTTGCAAACTCAGCCATTTTGAGATCAGCTGTTTTATGACCAAACATAAAAATTATTCAAAACATTTTTTTTTTTAATTTGCAAAGTTCAATTTGAAGTTGTATAAAAATTACAAAAAATGGAAGAAAATTCGTAAGTAATGCAAAGTTTCATTAAATTAGAAACTAATTCCTTATATATTTTTAGGCAAGTTCCAGATAGAGGGCAATGTATTGATGCAGGAAGCTTAAATGTTCCCGCGGAACATACCAAATCAATTTTTCTTTTATTGTTCATTTTATTTTTAATATTAAATGCAATACAAATAATTGTGTTTGTACATCGTTTGTTTGTTTATTTAGGCGCAAATCAAATATTTTCTTGAATCAGCTGTTAATTTGCTAAACCTTACTAAATGTTGTCTGTTTACTTTACTCAGTTTTATCGCAAAAGAGAGTAAAAAAGGCTTACTCTCTGAACTAGAACTTACTGAATAGATGTTACTGGAAAAGTAACCAGACACACCTAATGATGCATTGGTATTCGTGCCACCCTTTTTGTTGTTGTAATAAGGTGTATCGATACAACATTTTACTGGATGTTGTTCATTTACTTTTTGCAATTTTCTCCTTTCTTTCTCCATTTATCGTTTTTACTGTCAGTAAATTCTTATTGAGTATGTGTTACTGAAAGAGTAAACGATGTTTTTATTGGAAATACAAGAATCCTCCGTTATACAGAGAAATGTTCAAAGGTAGCTTTATGAAATTCTGCTAATTAAAACGCGAGCATGGCAAGTCGGACAAATATTAAGAAATGGGATGTATGGCATGTAGGGAATGGAAAATTCAGTACAATAGTATTTTTTCAGTACCTATTGTATTATAGCATTCAAAAAAGTGCTGTAGTATTCCCGCGACCAGTTCAGTACCAATGCAATCGGAAGATGCAAGAATTCACATATTATTACCATCAGAAAGATTGACTAGGTGACAATATCTATAAGAAACTGAATAAAATGTTTGTTTTGTTTTTTATTTTATTAAAAATAGTACTCTTTTAGTACCTTTTCACATTTTTTACTTTCCATCCCTGTGGCAAGCATTGATTTATTCTGCGAAATCAAAATATCAAATAATACTACATACATTCGTTTGTTTGAGCTAATAATTATTTTTTTTTATTTGTTAATTGTGTATGCAAAGTGTGTGCCTAACATAATAATAAAATATGTATTTACAAATGGTACTATATATAAATATGATAAAATAGCTTATTTAGTGTTGTTGTCTGACCACAACAGCATGAACGGAAAAATAATATCCGACCAATATAGGGCTAAACACCCTAACATACTCGCATACACATACAAAGCGAGAGGCAAAAAGCTCAAGACAAGTTTGGTAAACAGCCGCAAAATCGTTTTTCATTTGCAAATAGAACCAGCTAACAAATCTGTCAGGTGGACCGAGTAGTTCACAGCCAGAGAAACAAACAAAAACAATCTCAAACATACACTGCTTGAATGCGTGGGCATCAATGTGACACAATGCAATTATTCTCACGCCTCCCGTTCCCACAACAAAATATCAATATCAATGCTTAATGCTCGGTTCGTGCTCCAAAATATCTGCAACTCGAAACAGTATGGAATGTGAATTTGCAAAACGATACATTTATGACCACATTCGTTTTTTGTGACTTTGATTTCAATATTTCGAACGGCGAACAAGATAATTTTGTGTACATAATAGTAATGCCAAAGTAATATTCATACATTAAAATAGAAAAATTTCGATAATCCGACCCTGGCTAATTTGGATTATTCGGTAATCGGACTGCTTTCACTACTCAGTGCACTTTCTATAATTGAATTGTTTGCCTCAGTGTAGTATTTTTGGTAAAACGGGCACACATAACTTTACCTATTTTATTGAAAATTGTCCTTTTATATTTAAAGTTCATATTTTGTCAATGATTAATTGTATTTTTGAATAAAAGCATAAAACTATTTAAATAATCACTAAAGTTAGATTAGCGAGATTTTACTGTATATGTAAAATCGAAAAAATCGGATGTAATGTCAATATTCTAAACTCCTTTGATCCGCTGTTGGATCGGAATTGAATATGTTTGTGACGTCGCATCTTTAACAATTGTACCAATATTGTTCCTTTATTCGTTGCATTTCAATTCGTTGCATTTTATAGTGTTTGAAATACATCGATTGATCTATTAGGAATTCTGAACATTTTTAAGACTTGTGAGAGATGAGTGGACTGTTAAATATTAACTTGGAACATCGTCTATATTACGGTGATATATTAGATGAAATAATCCCAATTGTTAAGAAATAAAAAAAGTAGTCAACCAGAGGGGTTTGTTGCATTTTCCGATTCATAACAATTTGCAATCATTCCCTGTAACTTTGCAAAGATCTGCAAAATATAACTATTCGGGAGGAAAGTTTAAACAAAGTCAATTGGTTTAAACTTAAAATATTTAAAAAATACGTATTTAACAAATTTGAACTGGACTTACCGTCCAACATGTACTGCGAAAGATCTTCTTCGGGTTTTTGTTGTGGCTCCTCGGCAAAGACTTCCATGTTTACAATATTTCCACTTGCGGCCGTCGTTATGGGGACTTGTTTACGTTTACGGGGCAGTCGTCACCACAATTCCACACTTGTTAAATTAATTGTTTGTTGTCTTGATTGTTGTTGTTGTAGTAAGCGTGTGTGTTTATTGTTATTAACCGCTGCTTTTGGCACAAACACCTTTTTGAACTTTCCACTCAAACACGAGCTTTGAGGTGCATCACCAGCACAATTCGGTCATTGAATAGTTGTTGTGTCTGTAGGTAGAGATTAATAGGTTTGCTCGTACTTTACCGGTACAGTGGTCAAGAGCGCCAACACTTAATCATTGGTGAGGGCGCAGCAAATCCGAATGCAATACGTAATGCCACCAGCCATAAACTGCACAATAGTCAGAACAGTGTGATTCTTTCAATTTAGTCCCCACCCGGACATAGCAAGGGGGAAATGTGTATCTCAATTACGTTCAATGCTCGTATTTCATCGCCCGAATTTCACGGTTAGCAAATGCTTTGGTTTGATTGTTTCTTTGGTTTACTGAATATTGCCAAATGGTTTTTTGATTTTTTGGTGTTGTATTGTGCCTTTCTATTGTATTGTGTCTTTCTTTCCTCGCTTTAAAGTTGTCTGGTTCTTCGTCAAATGGACGGGCAACAATCGACAAGTCTGTTAGTCAATTGCGCTGCTGTTGTTGGTGTTTCTTTTTTGTAGTTTAGTTTTGCATTTACAGAAGGTTTTTTCTTCTTTTTTTCTGTTTTTTTGAGTTGTTTTCTTTCTTCAACACTTGTCGTTGGTCACCTTGAGCACCTTGGGAGATAGACGACATAAGAATAGCGACAATAACTCATAGACACGAACACACGCACACACCCGTATTCGCATTTCGAACGTATCGACAACGGTTGAGTGATAATTTTTAAAACAAAACGGAATTTATGCAAATATTTAGTCGATTGCCGCGAAAATAACCGAACAAGAATAAAATCAACAAACAAACAATCGAATTCCGTAGAAGAATAAAAGATAAAAGAAGAGAACAAATAAAAACCCCGCACACAAACGTCATCCAATCAAAACGCCAGAACAAGCAAAGCCTCAAAGGCAATTCGGGATGACTTCTTGGCTTACCAACTTTTCGAAAGTACCCCGCTGATCAACCAACAACAAATTAAAAATGTTTGTAGCTAGCGTATACAAAAGCTAAGTACGATGTCATGAAATTCCCTAATGTGGGGGAAGCAACAATCAGCAGCTCTATGGAAACCTTAAAGCATACATGTCTATCTGTCAGTAAACGCCTGTCGATTTGGTTCCACATTGGAACAAGTGTTTCGATACAGCCTATTATTCAAGCACACCCATACTGTTGGTACATACAAACATACATCATTCTATCACATATTTACATGCGCGCAAACCTTGTGCTTTGAATTATTCTTGGACGCACAATTTCGGTTAAACATTCCTCAACTTGGCACAATACTCAATGACAGTTACTTCAATAAAAAGCGCTTGCAATGCTAAATCGCCAGCCGTAAAACGAATCAAAGAACCGTCACATAAATTATTCACCGCAAACAAATTTGTAGGGAATTTTAAATAGAAAATAAATGCATCAATGTATGTATGTACATGCATGGATAGGAATTTGTTCGTATTTTGCATGGCATCCAGTACGATGGTTTGAACTTTGTTGTAATATGGTTCTATTGACTTTTCATCGGTTAAGGAGTACTTATTTTAAAGTCACAGTGCGATGGAAAATAAAATAAATAGTTTAACAAATAAATCACACTTCGGCTATCTTAACTTTTTGAAGAATCTTAAATTTGTAATATCTTTCCTGCCTAATAAAGATTGGCGCAGTTATATGTTCCCCATAAAAATTGAATTTATATTTGTATATTCTTTCTATGTCTCAGGTTTAATTGAAACTGTAATTATATTTTTTTACAAAATTGCTTGGTACTTTGCTGGCAAATTTAGTGATGTGGATCCGAAACTAAGTCTTCCCTGCCTTACCCCTTGGTAGACAATACCATACTTTCCCCACAAATAAATAGTTGTTTTTATAAAACAACAAACTGTAATTACGAATGAGAATATATTTATATAAGATTCCTTATATGCGTATGTACGCTTATAAGAAACAACTTTCTTATATCCCATAATTCCATACAAGAAAAAAAACGCATATAAGAAAGAAATCTCTGGCTTTTGTGAGTTTCTTATATCCGATATCTACTGTACCTATTTACTATTTGTTATATTGAACTTCTGGTTGTTTGTAGCCGTACATTGCAATTAGTATTGGAAGTAATTACTTTGTTCATCCATAATAAATATTTCATGGTATTCCCTACTGGATTTTGGAAAGAAATAATAACCTTTCATTAATTTTTCCCGTTTTTAGTTATGTGTTGAAAAATGTCAAATAAACACAACCACTTGTTGCGTATATTTATTTTATATTTGGCAGAAGACGCCACCAGCTACATAGTTGCTTTTTTATACCCTCCACCATAGTATGGAGGGTATATTAATTTTGTCATTCCGTTTGTAACTCATCGAAATATTCATTTCCGACCCTATAAAGTATATATATTCTTGATCAGGGTAAAATTCTAAGACGATCTAGCCATGTCCGTCCGTCCGTCTGTTGTAATCACGCTATCTTCTGAAGGAATTGAGATAGGATGCTGAAATTTTGCATAGGGATGTCTTTTATCTGCAGGCAGTCAAGTTCGAAGATGGGATATATCGGTCCACATTTAGACATAGCTCCCATATAACAGTACCCCCAATTTTCGGTATTTTGAGGTTCTAGGGCGCGTTTTTCAACCGAATACGCTGAAATTTAGTACATTGGGTTCTTATTAGGTACTTAATGTCCCCACAAAAAATTATAAATATAGGTCGACTTTTTCTGGTAGCCCCCATATAACGGTACCTCCTAATTTTCAGTATTTTGGGGGTTTTAAACGTATTGTTCCACCGAATTGGCTGCAATTTGGTATTTTGAGTTCTTAATAGGTACCAAATCTCTCCACAAAAAATATAAATATAGGTGAATTTTTTCGGATATCCCCCATATAAGGGTACCCCCCAAGTTTCGGTATTTTGGGGTTCTTGAGCGCGTTTTTCCACCGAATTTGCTGCAATTAGGTAATTTGTAGTCGTATATGGTAACAAATCTCTCTACCAAAAATTTTTAATATTCGCCCCCCTTTTTGGGGTAGTCCCCATATAACCCCATTTTTATACCCTCCACCATAGTATTAGTTAGTTTTGTTTTTCCGTTTGTAACGCATCGAAATAATCATTTCCGACCCTATAAAGTATAAATATTCTTGATCAGCGTAAAATTCTAAGACGATCTAAGCATGTCCGTCTATCTGTCTGTTGTAATCACTCTAGCGTCTAAACGAATTGAGATAGAGCCCCAAAATTTTGCATTGTCTGCAGGCAGGTCAAGTTCGAAGATGGGCTATATCGGTCCACGTTTAGGCATAGCTCCCATATAAGGGTACCTCCCAATTTTCGGTACTTTGAAGTTCTTGAGCGTGTTTTTCAACCGAATTCGCTGAAATTTGGTACATTGGGTTCTTATTGGGTACCAAATGTCCCCACAAAAAATTATAAATATAGGTCAATTATTTCGTTTAGCCCCCATATAAGGGTGCCCCCCAATTTTCGGTATTTTAGGGTTCTTGAGCGCGGTTTTCAACGGAATTCGCTGAAATTTGGTATTTTGTAGTCGTATATGGTTACAAATCTCCCCACCAAAAATTATTAATATTCACCGCATTTTTGGGGTAGTCCCCATATAACCCCATTTTTTATATTAAAATAGTTATCTGATTTGTTCCGTGTGTTGCGGTTGGGTAGTAGTTAGGGGGGATAGTCAATTTTTAGCCTACAAAGACTATTTAGCCATCTGTTGTAAGCATTCCGCCTTCTAAAGATATTGTGATAAAAAACTCAAACATGATGATAATGAAATATATCGGCAGACATTTAGGCATCTCCTCAATATAGTGATACCTCCTGAAGGAAAGAATTGAGATAAACAATTAAAATATTGGGTTCAGTATTGGCATATACCAGTCATTAATTAGGCATAGCCCTAATATAATGATATCCCCATATAATGATATCCCCTAATATATGATAATCCTATCCCCTAATATATAATGATATCCCCTAAAATATTCACTATTTCCTACACTATGTAATCAATATTGGCCCCCCTTTAGGTATATACCCACTTTTTGGTATGTTCCCTATATTTTCATTGCATGTATCTGTCAGTATAACTATGGTGGAGGGTATCCAAAGTTCGGCCCGGCCGAACTTAACGCTTTTTCACTTGTTGTTATTCAGCTCAAGCTGCCCTACCTTGTATTATTGTACCATGCTAAATACTACAGCAAAAATTGTACCATGCTAAATACTACAAAAAATTGTATAACGAACACCGATTATAACGAGCTTTTTTATAGCGAACACATATCATGTGCCCGAAGTTTTAAGACATATTTTTCATACACATTTTTACTCCTATAGCGAACTTCTTTAGAAAATACCTTTCATTCGGTCCCAACTTTGGGTTTTCATATATCTTAGTTTGCTTAAAACAATCCTCAATAAAGATAATTTTTACGCTAAAAGTGCGTTTATATTTACGAAATCCACTTCCTCCACAACGAACTAATTTCCTATTTGTTCGCTGAAACCGTACTCGACTGTATATTCAATTTCCCCATAAATGTTGGAGATCACTAACTCAAAAATTAAACGAAAAATAATCCATATCCATAGAAGATACAAAAAATATGAAAAAAAAATAATTAACGGTTGATTGAAATGCACAGAATTGTCCTGGATAAATCTTACTAGAAGAAATTTACCCAGCAACATTCAGTAAGTTCTCAGCGTTGTAGTTCAGTTCAGCACTCTCTTTTCGCTCTGTTTTACTGGATTTTGGAGTAAACAGACAACATCCAGTAACATTTGGTAACAATTATTACCGAATATCGAGAAAACAGACACAACTAATGTAAGGTAACAGCAAATGTACAGAAAACGATACAACCGCATAGAAATTTGTTGTTGTAATACAAGTGTCAAAACCATTTGATTGAAAAGTGTTAAAAAAATCAAATTATGAACAAATTAATAATATATTATTTTCGAATCCTCAAAATAAAATTTAAAAACGTGAATGAAAATCTATTAATTTTCAAATTATATCGCTTCCATATCTTTCCTCTAATTGAGTCATTGACCGCTATATGTGTAACACATATTAAAATGCTGGAAATTGTGAATTATTCTGTGAAGAAAGATCTACGGCTTCAAGCATTCCCAGCGGGCAGATTGAGTAAAGTGAATAAATTTAATAAGGAATAATTTAGAATTTTATTTATTTTAATTTTGCTGTTGGGTAATTTTTAAAAACATAATTTGTCATATTTATATTGACACGAGTAATACGTTGGAATCAAATGAGCGGGGTTTTGCTGTTACCTTCTGTAATTGTAACATGGGCAAGAATGTGAATGAATGTGAAACTGCAGTTTCGTCGTATCGAAGTCTTGCCACAAGTGCCAACCAATTATAGACATTCTGCAGACATATAAAAATGGTCATATATGCCATGGACTTTTATGGGTCCCTTGATCTATCGGAATCGAGAGTGTCAACTCCAAAACAATCCGACATTTATATATGATAATAATTGATAATAACGACTGAAGGCGTTTTGCTGAGGTCTAACAATAACGTGAAGATAATCCAGTTTCTGTTGTGTGAACGTTTCCGCAGTTCTGAAAACTGGCCAGACACGATGACAAAATGGGTGGTGGTAATGTCTTCTACAAACTCTCAATATTAACATTTATTTATTGCTAAAACAAACATTATAGCAAAGTTGGTGATAGAGCACACACAAATTCAATGGATTAGTTTTCGCTCTCATACAAGTGTTGATAGAGAACTAGTTAATTTGTTGGTTTATTTTTAGACTGGAAATTCAAATCATATTATTTATTATTTCAAAAGCTTGCGTATTTGAATATCTCCTAGGAATGTGGCAAAACTCTTCTTAAACAATAAAATATATATGGAACAAACAATCTGCTCTGAAACAGAAGAAGAAAAAAGAAGTATATATATATATAGCATAGACTGCTAAAGTAGTAAAACAAGATTTGTTGATATGAGTTCTCAGCTTGGAAAATATTATTCCAAAAACAATGACTCACTCGCAGAAAGAGATGAAACCGCAGAAGTAGAATTATAGACTGTTTATTAATTTGTTATGAAAATAAAGCCAACAAAATGAAAATATGTAGAGTAGCAGATAATCATCAACCTTGAATTGTATTTAGAGTATTTGTGTAAAAAAGTAATTCAATATAGACCAAGTCAGCAGGAAAATGGTGACTTCAAGCTACATAGCAAGTTACTGAAACTTATTTTCGGTCAATTTTGTTTCGGATACAATCTTGATATTTCGAGATGGAACTCCAATAACATGAAAATATCGTCTACTTCAATTATGTGCATAAAAAATGTTTGTCACGATTTCAAATTTGTTTTTGTTTTATTTCTAATACAGTTAGATTTAAAATTGGTTTCATTGTTTGTCTTGTATTTGTTCACTTTGGCAATCGATTTGTAATTAATTGATTGTTGAGATACGTTTCACAAAAACTACAGATCGGAAACCTAATTATCATTATAAGAAATTGCTAATTATATTTTTGGCAATATTTGTATAAGAATTGCTTTTAATAATTATTTACAATTTTACGTCAAATCAAAACGAGTCGACAACACACGCACAAATAAAGCCAGCACTTGGCCTGTCAACCGGACAATACACAGCGAAAAACTAAAGCAGTGTATTACGAAGAGGGAACTTTGGAACCACGATCTCAACATCTAGAATTTCACGTTCCGATGTTTACGGGCCTCACTCACTCTCCTGCAATCTGTTAACTGCTGCTCTATTTCTCAGTGCTCGCGACAATATTTCCATGAGGCGAAACGATTAGCTTAGCAAGTGTATGAACGACATGTGTATGTATGTATGGATGTGAACACACAGCCATACAACCCTATAAGCAGTGTGCATTTTATAGATACTCATTATCGCATTTGTCATATGATTCTCTCTATCCGCTCAGCAGACAGCGGTTTCAACTATACCGACATGTTGAGGGGCTCGCTTTTGGGTCGATGGGCGAGCGATGTTACGCTCGTTTAACCACCACCACTGTTACCCATATAAGATGTTTGCCATAAAGCAAACAATCGCCACAGCCGTCTTGCATGACACCCCGGCCCAAATGCCTTTGCCTTCTCCCTCCTCATGTTTACAGTTCGCCCGTATCATTTTTCCATTAACACAGTTGAGACTTCTTATTTCTTTTGGAAGTGCATCGCAGTTGCAGACATTCCGAAATAAGTGCTAAGCCCAGCACAGCCGTAATCTAATCGGCCACATACACGCTAATTGTATATGTACAAGCATACATATGTATTTTTCGATAATTAGTATTTACATATCATCGGACATGTGCCTCCGTAAAGTCACTTAAAGAATTTCAAAATTTGGTACGGCAGTCAAATTGGCGGATATAAATTGCCGCAAATTTTGAAGTGTAATACTAATGTTTAGTATTTCTTATTTATGTAAAGAATATTTAAGGTTCAAAATATTCATAAAATTCTCAGAATTGTCCCATTATTAGAAATGATGCCCAAAACCGTGGTATTTCATGGCATACAAGATTCAAAATGAACATTTCAAATATTGCATTTCTAATTACACCTAAGTCTGTTTTTACACGGTCTTTTTGTACACGGTTTTGATATAACACGGTTTGAAATTTTAATATTTTAATTTTTTTTAGACGATTTTATTCCATTTAGCACGATTTGAAATTTTATGTACTTAAATTTTTTTGTCAAATTTAATTTTTGCGAAGTATGTTCATATCACAAAAAGTATTTATGAAAGAAAAAAGTCTGAAACCATCGATAGTTTGCATACACTAGCTTAAAGATTTAAGTGAATTCCCTTTTAGCGCGTACAAACAATTTTTACTGGCCAAAGCAAATGTGAGTAGCACTAATTTAGGGGAATTCCATTTATGTATAAGATCAATGTCTTTTTTACACGGCTTCTTCTGGAACCAATCTACCGTGTAAAAACAGACTTAGGTGTACATTATCCTACACATAAGAGCTATGGGAATGATGACTGTATTGTTTAATACGTCGTTATGTGCATATCATCTTGAACAATAGCCCAAAACAATTCGCAAAACTCCAGCAAGAAAGTTAAAAAAAAAACAAGTCGCTATTACACATTAGAAGTAAAGTGCGTATTAAATAACGACAACGATTTGAGCCACTGTTTTGTTATTATTATAAAATAATACAATTTTACGGGTTTAGACATTTACACATGTACGATATGTACATATATAGTTCCTCATGAGTATCTACTTACTTGTACCTGGCAAATATTGATATGAAATGTGTGTGTAGAATATGGTGCAAACACCTAGCTTTTTAGGCTAGTATTAAAATTGTAAAAATCGGAGATGGAGGTCTTCTTATAGACGAGCTGGAGGCCTTTGTTTACGTATACATAAACAGCTTCTAATAAGATTTATCCAGCACTATATTCAATATATTTCAATCAGCCGTTGAATTTAAATGTTGACCCAAGTCAAAAAGCATTTTTATTTTATGAAGTGTATTCCTTAATAAGTCAAAAAAGTAAATTTCAAGCATTTTAAGTGAAATTACGTGATATTTTTCCAAATCATACTGGATATTGGCTGTTTACTTTTCTCAGTATTATTGCAAAAGAGAATAATACGGCTTACTCTCTGAAATAGAATTTACTGGGTAAATGTTACTGGTAAAGTAACCAGACACAACTAGTATTTCGCGCAAATCGAGATAATAGTTTTGAATCACGATAAATTTTATATACAGTCCAAACGTTCCCTAAAATTTCAAAATTTTATATTCGTTAAGAGTCACCTAATATAAAATCTTATTGGACCCCTCCATCTTTGTTAGTATGTATATATGTATGTACATATGAGAAATTGGAAAAAATCTTATTGGTTTTCGAAAACGGTTCTATAAAAGTGCACACCAGTCATGTGGCGTTGCACTATCTTGGCCGGTACTTGGCGACCGATTACAACATCACCCAAGGGGTTGTTTTTGTTTTGTTTGGGGAAGCTTTCGTTCGGGTTCAATATGGCGACAAATACACAAAATATGACGAATTGCGAAGTGAAAAATATGCCTAAAAATTTGTTTTTTTTTGGTTCGTTATTTGACGGTGAGTTTTTTCCTTTATTAATCCGTAAGTTGAAAAAGGATTTAGATGCCTTCACTAGTGCTCTTATTGTTTATATTAGGATTTTTTTCGATACACAAAAAGACACGCGATATTCAGTTCACCTGGGTGAAGTACATATCAATTTATTATTGATTAATCACGTAGATACTCCAAAAACTAGTTTGGTAAGCCAATTATCTTCTCCGATAGATATATGAAACACATTTTTCATTAATATTGACACTATCTATATTTAGTTTTCCTTCAAGGAATAGCAAATACACTGCACCATGTTTTTGCGGATTTCACAAATAAGTAATAAAACAGCTAGAGGACTCACTTCGTACGCGGATGTGACAGTCTTGTTAAAGTTTTAAAATCCAACTGCAACTTTGAGCTCTTCAGTGCGTTTCTCATTGGCGATGTGTACTAGACGGTAAACCTGTTTATATTCGTTGGCCTTTGCCACCCTTAGTTTCAATGTTCGTCGTGCAGTTTGTTTTGCAGCCCCAAGAAGGAATACCAAAAGTGCGCAGGTCACATCCACATACAATCCACTCTTGAAAATAAGGGTAGGTTTGCATTTGCACCATAGTGTTGCCAACCACAAATATTAAAATGTGTATACTAAGTCTGTCTGTTTACATGACATTAGGTCTGTCGGTTCACTCCCTAGCCACCAGTACTGGATGCTGCTTGTTAACAGTATATTTGGGAATTAGAGAATAATTGGATTACATACCTGTGTAAAAAATTACTATTGGGTTTTCGTTGGCATCAATTGTATTGATGAATTGTGGTCCAATTTAGAACAAAATACTGTCATACTTAGAAGGGTCTGAATTATCTTATAATCTCATCATTCTGAACAATATATCAATATTTTGTCCTTCGAGCCCACTTTATGATGGATGCCCTACTCAACGTCTGATATCGTGTTTAGATAATACATCTGGTTATATAGGCCTAATATGATGACAAAGCTTGTTTTTCTGATGATGTAGGACGAATAATATACGCCGCCCAGTGGTACATCGATTAGCTCCATAAAACAAAAAGTCGAGAAATGCGGTGAAAATTCCTATGATAAAAATATAAATTTTCAAATTCGCAATATTGGGTTGCAATAATGATTATAAAAAAATCTTACTTTCGAATACTGTAATGTCGAATACTGTATTTTTGAATTTTCAAGACATTCTATACACATATACATATTTAGTTATTGTTTTGACAAAAAGGGGCACCACATCAAAATATTGTAATCAACAATTAGGACTAACCTACCCCCTGTTATTGTACCACGGGTGCACCATTTGTTTGGAAAATTTGTGAAGCCACAGAGCTCAATATGCCTTATGAACTCTTTCATTGCAAAACTTCGATCCATAAGATTGACTCGAAGGAGAAAAAACTGACTTAAAACTCATACAAGCGAAATTAAAAAAAAAAATAAAATATTTAGAAAATATATAAATCTGAACCAATTTTCAAAAATGGTTGGTCCTTGGGTCTGATAAAGTTATATTATCTGCAACGATTTATTGTCAATTAAAAAAAACTACATTGCATTGTAAAAGAAGAGCTGTAAAAGGTTAATCTATTAAATGTGACATAACGTTTCGATCTTTATTATGAATTTTCCACGACAACCATAACGACATTCACTTTTCATCAATCGACTTAATTCATTACACTAGTCGTCAAAAGGGGCACAGTCTGACGGGCAATGTCGTCTAATGTGAATCGGTGTACTAAGTAAAAGTACATTACCGGCCATTGAGCAACATAAGACCACCCACACAAAAATGACACCTTCAAAACAACCGGATAATAGAAGAGAGGACCGATGATTACGACAATCGAAGCTTGCCGCAGACATAACCTGATGTCCAACCACTAATCTCACATCAAATTCAATGTGACACCCCCACCTGACTACTCAACTTCATCCAAGTCACGTTAAAAAAACGGCAATGGATTGTTTCGAGCCACACGATCGCTGTATTTTGACAGACAACATTGTTGATTTTTTGTGTCTGGATCATTGAGGCTCAGCCCTTTACGTTTTCGAGAAAACAAACCTCATGTACTCTCTCTTAATTTCGGTCTGCCGTTGTTTAGCATAGGCGGGAAAGCATTTTACCAATACCTATGCGAGTAATATGTGCACCCCTGGTCTGGTTCGTACGATTCCGTTGTAATTAGTATAACCAGCTGGGCCATTCGACAATAGCGACGGTACGTGTGTATGATGTTCCTCCATCATAAACACACACAATGACAATGCAAATGATCTATCGATATACCTCCACAAGCAGGAGCTGCATTCACCGGTCACCGGATAGGAATTCCTTTCGTTTTCAACCACCACCACCACAGTACAAACGGGCTTCGAATCCTATCCTCCTATGGTTGATTGGCATTTTCTGTCGACTGCGGCAAGCATGAAGTTGTTGTTTTTTAGAAATGGAAAGTTCACTGGAAATCTCGCTTTTCTGTGACCGACCAGACAAAAGCCATTGATCTCGCCAAACCAACTATAAATTTGAGAAAAGTTAAAGAAGTAGTTGTGCCACTTTTGTTGATATTGCCAAACTATGAATGTTGCCCAAAACCAACAAATGTGGGGGAATGTTCAATTTTAATTCACTTGAAATCTAACAAAAATATCAAAAAAAGAGATATTGTTAGCCTTGAATGAATTATGTGGGGTTCAATGATCCCAACAAGGGGGCAAGGGCAGGTGTTTACATATTTACATAGTTAAGTAAATTTCTTTAACATTAACGTGTCATAAAAATGTTGCCGTAACTTTTTGGAAGGAATTTGTCCTCCCACGTCGAAATTACTTTGCTGTCTAGATTTTGTATGGGGAGCAACCAATTAGAACAGAAAAACCCCATATTTTTAACTACATCTCCTATTGAGTTCTTAACCATTGGTCTGTTCCCGTACTACAAGAATCTACTAGATATTACTATTTTCTTCGATATCATAAAGGAAAATTCGTTATCGTAGCAAAAAATAGTGGTGCGCACACTAGCCCTTTTGAATGACACTCTTGCCCAAATTTTGTTTTTTTGATAGTGTATCCTCTCATGTCGTCATTAAAAAGGTCCACGGCAGAATTCGATAAAATAATAAGGCGGAAGCTTTAATTATAGCTACATAAATACCATAATAAATCTGTTGTGGGTTTGTTCGAAATTTAGCTCCAATAATAATAAATAATTTTATTTGCATTTTAAATGACATATACATTAGAACTTTTTAGCGGGTTAACCTACTTTGTGAGGATTTATTTGGCATTTATGCAAAGTTATTGGCAATTTAAAACCACAGGGTGAACGAAATCTAGTACAATGTAAACGTAGTATTACATTTTTAGTATGGTTCATCTATTTCGAAATCTAGTTTGCTTATCGATGCAACAAACAAGTTGTTAAATAATTTTAATTTAATTTAACCGTTTAATAAAATAGTGATTTTTTGCCAGTAGTCGGCACCAGTTACCAAACGTCGGCATATCCCATTTTTATTGAAGAAAAATTATATATTTGATCGATCTTTTATTGTTTAATGAATCGTAGTAAAATATGAGCGAAATTAATTGATTTTTTTATGAAAATATTACAATTGTATATTTTGCTGCCGACTTTAGGAAGCAGTTATACAATATTCGGCATGTCTAATACGCACATTTTATAGATTTACAAATGAATCTGACTTTTGTAAACATATTTCACAATTTTTTTTTTTTAATTTTTGAAAAATGACTTTTCCACCACATATGCCGACCATAAAAAACCGTTTCTACGACAGAGGGGTCTACGATCCGAAACGACCCGAGTTTTACTCGGCCAACGTCTGTCACCTCAGCCCATTATGTAAAAGCAATAGGGCTACAACAACAACCATAAAAAACCGCCGATTTTGTTTGTTCCTAAAGGCGGCATGAAACATTTTGTAAAATTACAAATATTTTATTATAATTTGAAATGTAGAGTAACTTCGGGTAATGTGGACCACCATTTTCTTTTTTTGATATTGTGGCGTAATAACGGTAAAAAATAAAAACCAATTGTTTTCACAACATAGTGGATTTGGTTGGTCATGTCAAACATTATTAGATATGTGGGGTGGTCCACATTAGACGCATAGACCACATTACCCGAAGTTACTCTATTATGATCTTGTACACGTTTTTTACAATTATGACATGAGCTGTTACTAGCTTTGAATGACCCATATTGACAAAACTATATATACCTAATAAAAATGTATTATAAACTTATAGTAACCATAAGAGTTTTATATAGATTACTATAATCATAACCTATAACATATATGGGCATTTCCGGGAAAAAGTAAACCAAAGTAGAAGAATTTTTTAATTAATTGTACTTAGATTCGTGAAGTTACAACAAAAAGTACAGAGAAATACAACATTTGCCATTTTTTGCTTCTTATTATTGCCATACAGAAATAATTGCTACAGAAATAAAAGCTGTAAAATCAAAACTGTCGTTTGAGTGACCCAGAAAAATCCTTAGCAAGAAAAGGACAGGACAATGTCTAAAGTCAAGTATCTTTGAAGTCACGTGAGTAAGTGCCACTTTGTGACTTTTATCTCAAAAAATAAAATTTGTTTACCACTGATAAAAAAAAATTAATTCTATTTGATTTGTTAAAACATACTAAGAGTTTATTAAGATATTGAACAATACAAGCACACGCAGACATTTTTTTATATGATTTGACAGGAAAAAAAATATTATTTTTTTATACCCTTCACCACACTGTGGTACAGGGTATTATGTCTTTGTGCATATGTTTGTAACAGGCAAAAGGAAACGAGATAGGCACATGGTTCCTTTTGAGAATATGCATAGAATCACTTTCTGAGTCGATTTACGCATGTCCATCTGTCCGTCCGTCTGTCCGTCCGTCCGTCCGTCTGTCCGTCCATGTATTTTTGTGAACAAAGTACAGGTCGCATTTTTGATCCGATTTGGATGAAATTTGGCATAGGTCACTTATTTGGCCCAAGGACGAACCCTATTGAAATTGGGAAAAATCGGTTCAGATTTAGATATAGCTCCCATATATATTTTCACCCGATATAGGCACCAAAGTACCTATATATCATTCGATTTGCACGAAATTTGGCATAGCGTACTGAATGAGGTCCAAAATGATGTGTGCTGAGTTTCGTGAAAATCGGGTCAGATTTAGATATAGCTCCCATATATATTTTCGCCCGATATAGGCACCAAAGTACCTATATATCATTCGATTTGCACGAAATTTGGCATAGTGTACTGAATTAGGTCCATAATGGTGTGTGCTGAGTTTCGTGAAAATCGGTTCAGATTTAGATATAGCTCCCATATATATTTTCGTCCGATTTAAGGTAAACGTGGCACCAAAGTACCTATATATCTTTCGATTTCCACGAAATTTGGCATAGCG